ACATCCAGTGCTCTGATAGCATCAGCCAGCTTGTTGGCGTAAACAGCAAAGTTACGGCGCCTGTCTTCGGGCACGCTCGTGGACTCTGCTCGTTTCTATAAGAAAATGCACATTTATAGTTTCTAAAGACGATACATTATAATAAATTTCGAAGCCCTGTATTGATACGTATTGTATTATAATTTGCGGCATGTTGGATGATACCATCGCAGGTGACGAAGACCATGCACTATGATTATCTATAATTACAGGTTTCTTAGCACGATATGATTTCTTTTTGATATTTCTGTTTCGTGTGGATACAGTGAGTGTAGTTTGTCGGAAAAAAGTGAGTGACAATGGTAATGCCTCAAGTAGGTGAGACGAGGGTAGTCGTCGTCGAAGTAGTTGAAAGAGGGTATATGTCTGTTCTTAAAGCTGTAATCTACAGCTGGCCAGTCAACCCGTAACCATTCCAAAATATCGGGAAAATAAAAAAACACATCGTGGTAAGAAGTTTCTTGTGAAAGAGCTCGTCCACGGAATTCCTGCTATCTTACCTATTTCTGCCGCCAAGCAGTAATGTCAGCATTACTGTGTTCCGGTTTTGAAGGGTACGGGTAAAATTACTGGGACTTGTCAACTTAGGTCGCAGGGCGACGGGCGCATTGGCAGCGCCACTCAGATGTTTGCGATTCAAAGCTCCGAGTGGCACTGCCACTGTTATGAACAGACGTGTAGCTTACCATCAGGTTCACGACATGTTCGTCCCGTCCCTTGATATTATAAAAAAAAGAAAAGCCTTAAAATCTACCATTTACTTTGATTGACTACTTATAAACCTACATTCCTGACAAATCTCTTTCTCCTCTTCCACTTGCATCAGTATCTTCATACAAGCTTGTTTTAGTCTTGGTACTTTTACCTAGTCCTTTTTAAAGATATCCCCAATCTGATTAAGATTTGTATGTCGGGGTCTACTTCTCCCCACATTTTCATCCATATTCGCTCTATAAATGTGTGTTATCAATCTACTAATATCCTTTCTACATAACCAAACCATCGGAGCTTTTCCTTTGGTATCCTGGGGCACATCATCTTTCACACGTGCAAATTATTCTAAATAAGAAATAATCAGAAACAAATAAAATTGTAGAGGCACGGCACGCTGGCTCGTCGATTAAACAGTCATAAGTTCGTCGCGTCTCCACGAGGGCAGCGCCACTGAGTCGATGCACACTCGTCATAACATTACTAGATAAGAGCCTATAAAATATACTTGAGTAGACGTTTTACAATAAACATTTATGCTTTCTTGATCCTGACTAGAGTTTTAATTAATCAACTACCAACTAAAAAGCTTGCAAACAATCATCAGTTCTCTGTAAATGTTCAGGAACATTAGTTTGTTTAAAAAAACAAATGTAATCTACATGATACGAAAATATAGTTTCAATTCTATTCTTGATCAACTTGGTTCACATAGTGGTGATCTCATACACCAGGTTTTCTCATTCGAGAAGAACAAATAACCCCTCGTCTACGTACTACGCCATATTTTTAAATGTTTGACATACCTTAGCATCCTCCATAATGGTAGCAGCCAAATTTCTCAAAGCAGTATGTTCAATAATAATCTGTTCCTTCTTCTTCACCAACTTTCCTTTTTCCAAGTCTTCTCTAAACAGTTGAAGAAGTTTCTCCAGCTGCACCACTTCCTTATCCATATCAGCGGTGGTTTTTTGGTATTGAGGATTGGAGGATAACGGTTTCCAGGTGGCTTGGAAGGCATTTAGCCGCGAAGAAAGGTCATTGGATGCTGTGATTAAGGATTGTTGACATTCTTGATGGTGAATTGAAGGGGCTACAAGCTGTTAAGAAGATGATTTGAAGGTTGTACTAATCGGTGTCTTAGGTTACTAATCCAGCCGAGACCACGACTGCATGAAGTTGACAACGAATTCATGCATTAACTACATGCAGTCGATCTCGACTGCATAATTACGGTTTCGACTGCATGCAGAACCATCAAAATCGGTTCACAAATGCTGGAACTGGAATGAGGAACTGAGAACGTCTCCTTTTTTCGAAGTCTGTTAAAGTATATTTTGCTATTACGTTTTGTATAATTTTGTTAATTTTGAATTATATTAAAATAGAGACATTCTAGTCCAATACAGACCGACAGTCGAAACAGGGTGCCCAGTCGGAAGGCGTACCTTAGCGGTGTAGACGAGGGTCCCCGCGGCGTCCGCGCACTGCTTGCCGCGGTCGCAGATGAGCGGGGCGCCGGGGGCGGGGGCGGGGGCGGAGGCCAACTGCGCGCCGCCCAGGGCCAGGCTGGACGCGCTGGCGCCGATCTCCTTGGCCCGGGCGATCACCTGCGCGACAGGGACGTTGGCTCCGGATCATTACTTTGGTAATACTTATTTATTATAAGATCTTTGCTCGACGTATATTGCTGTCAACTGTGTTTCATTCTTACTCCTTACATTTTTAGTATTTATCGTGATAATCTTTCCAGATAATCTTACACTTCTGCTTCTTTCGCGCGTCTCTTAACTGTCTACCAAAAAGCCCTTCAAGTTCCCCAGTATTTAATCCATGCAATGTTTACTGGTGACAAAGTCTGACCTGTATTATTGTCTATTTTTTGTGAAATAACTCCATTAATTTTGTTATACTTATTATTACAATCAAACAAATAGAAAAATTTCTTTGACCTGGTAGAAATTATACACACGACAATGCTGCACCGTAGCATTGCTTTTGCCAACTGAGCAACAGCTCAAGCTCAGTTGGTAAGAGCAATGCTACGGTGCAGCAAGGTCCTGGGTTCAAGTCCCGCGTGAATAAATTTTTCTATGTGTTCGATCTTTGTGATAATAATCAAGGTCATACCTGTTTTTCTTGAGCTGGGTCTATATCCGTGCTGACTACGTAAAGTAGACGCGCTGAACTATCGCCGAACTCTATCGCCGCTTCGTTTAGTTTCTGCAAAACATTTCAATATGAAATAAAACATGTTCCACAAAAAAAGAAATATTTTGTATATTTTTATTATTAACTTTATTAAAAAGTAAATAATACCTCATAGTCGCCATTAGCATTCGCGCAAAGGCGTCTCGTCGCAGCACACAGAGCTTTGATACCATCGAGGAGTCTTCGAGATTTCTCGTCGCGAGAACTTGATAGCAATTTGGCATCTACACCACAAATAGTATTAGTGAGCATTTTTTATTTATTTATTGTGGTTTAGTGGATTCTGCTTTTATTATTATAAATGGATGGATGTTTGCTACACAATCACGTCGAAACAGCTAAATGGAATCGGGTGAAATTTTATGGATAGTTTATAACCTGAAGAAGCACAAAGAGCGATTATCTTAAAATACAACTTCGCAGAATTAGTACCAGTAGAGCTTCTTGTGAAAGAGTTAATTCAAGGCAGCACTGTCACCATATTTATTTATGCTGTCAAGCAATAATAATAATAACAGAAATAATGGTTCAAATATATGTGTGTGTGTGTGTGTGTATATATATATGTGGGTACGTGTGCGTGCATGCGTGACAAGGTCAAAGAATGACAAGGTTGTATGATCTTTTTTAACAGAAAGAAAACATGCCTTTGACAATTTCTGGCATCAATGCAGATAGAGTGTTTGTTGATTCAGATGCCGCTATATAGTCTACTGTATCCGGATCTGCAAAATGTAAAAATTTGGACTTAGTTTAGTTACTATGTAGTCTAAAGGAAAAACATCCTAATATAAGCTGGCAAATCCGAGAAGCGTAATTTTTGGTTTACGTAACTGTAGCCTAAGCCTATAATAAGAACTATAATAGCTTACAGAAGGCCAAAAGGTTCTACTGCTGCACGAAACAGATACTTACGATGACTAGCTACAAGCGTGGCAGCGGCGGCTCCCGCCAAAGCCAGTTTCTCTTCCATCTGCTTCTGCAGAGCCGATGTTTGCTCCGTGTCCAGAACCGGACCACTAGCTTTTTCAGCCCATACCTGTCCAAATGCCATAGCGTTATTTGAATGACAATGAAAACATTCTTAATTTCAATTTTGGCCTATTATTGATGATATGGATATCACTAACATGTGGTTTCAACAAGATGGTGCCACAAGCCACACAGCCACCGAAACAATGAATTTATTGCAAACCAAATTTCCCGATCACATAATTTTACGAAATTCAGCCGTTAAGTGGCCAGCTCGATCATGTAACTTAACACTGCTGGATTATTTTTTATGGGGTTATGTTAAAGACAGAGTCTATACGGAGCCAATCGAATCGATTGCAGTCTTAAAACTCAAAATTCGTGAAGTGATTAACGAAATAGAACCACCATTTTGTCAAAAAGTGTTAAAAAACTTTGATGAAAGAATCGACATCTGTAACTGTGGTCGTGGTAGACATTTATCAGATATCATTTTTCATTCATAATTGCCAACCCGTACTTTTTTTAATACAATAAAAGTTTTAATCATTGTCATCTAAATTAATTGTTTTATTTTGATTTACAAAACAAAGTTCTTGTTGAAAAAACATATACATTTGTGAATGGTTAGTAACGATACCTCTCGCTAACAGTGAAGAAAAGCATCATGATGAAATTTTTAAAGTCCCAAACCAGCGTCAGGCGAAGCGGAATATAACCTAAACTCTCCCCTTATAGATACTCGTGGTCAGCAATGAGACGTACAATGAGTTGATAATGATGATATTGACCTTAATGTGGACGATTTTGAAAATAACAACACTGATGTCGATGTCAAACAAAAAGGTCATATTGACGCTAAAGCTTACAATTATTTAAATATCTATCAAGCTATGAGGTGCGATTACATCAAAGGAAAAGGCTTGGGGCTCTGATTCAGAATTGGAAAACTTGGAAGACTGTGTATTACCATGTTAGCCTGTATAAATCAAACAAGTCTGAGAGATTAAAAATACCATATTTAGTTCTTCCTCAGCCTTGCTAATATTCTTATCAGCTTCTTCAACATTCTTGACTAGCCGAGACTCTAGTTTTTTTCGCTCGTGCTCTTTCTTAGCAGCCGCTAACAGTTTACTCTTGTCTAATGAAGCTGATAATTTTCTATTCATGCTTTCGTAATCGCGCAGATGCTCTAAGAAGTCTTGGCTGTCGCGACGCATTGTGGAGTAGCTTGAAATGCTTGGCTCTGAGTTTTCTTGTTTCTTGCTTACTGATGATCGATCTGTGGAATAATAAACACAATAATCTACAGGGTTGTACAAAAAGACCCAGGCTTTTGAGTCCGGATGTAAATCAGTTTGCCGCTGTGCTGAAGAAACGCTTAAGCGATGGAACCTGACCAGGAGAGGTCCGCTGCGTCACCAACAGGGAACTTACTCTTGGCCTCCTCGATTTTGAGATGATCCAGCAACTCGTGACTGGCCGCGCTAGAGTCCGAATGAGCAACGAACCGAGTCACGGGGCTATGTGGCGTGTTGTCGCCTCTGGAGTTGCGCGACGACGAGGGCTTCCTCGTCGGCACGGGAGGCGGCGCCGGCCGGCTGGACTTTTCTGGGTGACGGGAGACAGAAACAGTGCGATGAGCGCCGTCGGCCGTTGTGGTGTCGTTTAGGCCAACTTGTTAAAAATACGAAGTGTACTTTAAAGGCAAAACATTACTTAAAAGAAACTCAAAGCCGATGCTGAACTAGGTTTAAGAACCGACGCAAAACACCCAAACCGTATATTTCAAGGCTCTTTAGACTGACAAGGAGCCATTATATACAAACATTGCTATTAGTACGAATGTTATGTTTTTTTTATATAAAATATAAATGCACATTTGACCTCCATCTCACTTGATGGAAAGTGACGATGAGGTCAACGATGGAGCATGCACACCTAAATTATGCCTATTCACTCTCGCCTTGAAAAGGCCCAAGTTATAAAGTTCAGAGAACAAGTCTGCAGGTGGCAATACTTGTATCCTAAAACACTAGAGAAAGCGGTTAACAAAATTTGTATAAGACAGGTGAGGAGTCTGCTTCTACCTCTGTGTGACAGCTAGCTACAAAACCTTGAAGTTGCGTGTCTATTGAGATGGTTTGCTGTAGGCCTACTATAGCCACATCATCATTGTATAATTAAAATCGGAGGATATACTTACTCCTGTCCACGGAATTACATGCTTCCCTGATGCCGTGCAAAGCTTTATCCATGGTCTCCCGGTACCTCTCCAGCTCTTCGCCAAGACCTTCGCAACGGGGATCATTCAGGCGACCTGTCTCCATCGCCAGGAATTGAGCTGATGACGATAGAGCTTCAGTGGAAGACAGAAGTGCCGATTGACAGCGAGGATTATCCATGGAAGGTGCAGTTAACTACGAAACAATAGTATATAAATTAAATTCAACAATTGCTGGACAAAAAGAAGTGCTTATAGTCTGTAAAATTGCACCAGTATTTTAAAAAAAGATGATGGAAACAAGAAGACCAATAAATTGAAATACTTTCTCTGTAATTGAAATCCTATAAGAGACCACTGTAACTATGAAAAAGAGCACAAATAAAATACCTCTGCTGTAGTCCTCAAGGCATCCGCAGCAACGGTGACGTCAGAGCCTAGTGCACTCAATTTGACGCCGGCGCCACCACCGATTGTTGCAGACACTTTGTGAGTCTCTTCCACCATTTGTTTTGCTTTGTCACATGCTGAGCTTGACAGTTGTATGATCTAACAGAAGAACAACTTGTTAAAGCTGACAAACGAGTGTGAATGGAAGAAAGTTATTGCATTAGATTATTTAATCCTAGATAAATGCCTCGTTTTGCTACTTTCGCACTTGTAATATTATCTAGGGTGGTGTTGCACATCGTTGTTAAGTCTTTTTTATTTAATTTAAATACATTTTAAATTTTCTGTTTGTAGTAATAATTTTTTGGTCGCTTCTTTTTTGGAGAACTAAGTAAACATCTCGAATTCGTCGTCGTTCAGCTATTACCCGCTAGATGACAGCACATTGATTGAAATTTAAATATAAGATCGAATGTCGTAACTTGCAATAATAGGTATTAAACTTTGAACGATATGTCAAGAAGGTAAAGTTTAAATTATATTAACAGTCCAGAATTTTTTAATTCTTTTCAAATTTGAAACTACGACCAATCATTATCAAGATCTTATAGTGTTTGAAATTGTGAATGTGTGAGTTTTGGCGACAGGATTTATGATAGTAACCGAGGCTTAAGGCGCTTCCATTTTTATTTTTGCTTCCGTAGGTTCCGTTCATCTATGATAGATGACTCAAGTGATCAAGGACGGTTGACGTTGACGGTAAGATCTTATTATGAACCTGCACTTGAGATAGGATTATTAACATGACTCTACATGTATCCCCAGAGAGTTAAGAGGGAGCATGCCAAAAAAGTTTTGACGTTGGCTCCGCCCACATTTGTGAGACAAATATATGCCTGAAGTTCGCGTGATATGCGACAGGAGATGTTGAATTTTGCGCATTAAAAGTACCAAATTCGTTTTAGCGGAATAACTCTAAAACTAAAGGGATTAAAAAAAAATCCGTAGTGACAGTTCTCGATCATGCATAAATATAATTAATTATCTAATTTTTGTCCTAATAACCTGTAGCATTTCGAGGATGAATCGAAAAAATGTGAAAATGACCTCTAGGTCATTTCGTGATTTTTATCTATCGAGGAAACTTTATTGTTTTATGTTTCTGATTAGTGTCTATGCTTGAATATATCGTGTAGTTACTCATACAATATTTTATTTTTAACTTTAAAGTGGATATTCCCCTCTAAAATCAAATCGAAGATTAGGAATTTTTCCTCTGCTCCCTCTTAAAGGATGGCGTCTCCCTGTGTGATAGATCCCAGTTTTAATGTGATCGTTTACCTGCTGCTCTTTTACTGGATTCTTGCAAGGATTCACCACGAAGGAGAGTTTTTGTGACGCATCACCCACTTTTCGGGCTTTTTCGTTGAGGTCCTGAACAAAAAATCCCACATTGATGTTATAAATTCAGAAGCAATAGCTAAATATATGAATTGCAAAACCAACAAACTTATCTATGTCCATAATAGTTATACTTTTGAAAATTCTGACTTCCTGTCTTCAGTACCGTTTTTAAGTATCATAGATAAGTTAATGGCACTGTAAATTACAAGGAAAATTGCAACCTTAATCTGATTTTCAATTAGAGCTGGGAGAGGCAAAGGCCGTTTGATGTTGTTACCTTAGAATCTTCCTTAACAGCAATTGTACAAACGTCTTGTAACGTATGGCACCAATTCTTCATATCATTGAGGGCAGCCTGGCGTGATTTCATATCCTTGCCGGTTGAACTCAAACTCCTGGTGTCTATAATATTATATAATTAATAACTATAAGCTCTTTTTAAACAATAAAACAAACAGAGAACCTACGTCAATACTCACCATCGACAATGCCGGGAATAATCTCTGATACTAATCGCATGGATTCTTCGCCAACAATGTAGTTTGGATGATGGATGTCTGAAATATATACACCGTTGTAAAAAGCAGCAATAGATAAAGCTTCTTCACACGCAAGTACACATACTCTCGGAGCGAATTATGTTTTATTATAGTATGTATTATGTCGTGTCAGCGAAACATTTTGAGAAAGAGTTCCTCCAGGGAAATACTGCCAGTATATTAGGTATTGAAAAATTTTAAATGTACCCCATATCAACCATATGATTGTAATAAATAAATTACGTCGCGTAAACAAGTTTGCAGTCTGCGAGCATGTCATGAATAAACCTGCACATTCAATGAACTTTGACAAACCCCAGGTCCTTGCAAAAGAAGTCCGTTATCTACAAAGGATGCTGCGAGAGGCCATTGAATTTCAAAGTCAAAGTCAAAGATTATTTATTCCATAGGTAAAATAAATTTACACTTGAAAACGTCACATTTAAGCTACTGCTCGTTCACTACACTGACCTCCCTGAGAAGAACGAGCAAGAAACTCTAGGGATTGCTCTTTTCAAATAAACTTAAATGCTATGGAATACACTTTGAATCAAATTTGTGTGGATTCTGGAGCCATGTCGTCTTTCCATACATCTTTATCTAACACGTAGTCTTCAATTTTGTAATATGATTTTTCGATCAAAATATTTTTAATGTAGTTTTTAAACTTAGGAAACATTGACTTACAAATAAATGGACGACGGGTCTAATACAAAAACCACGAAAAAAATGTCCCAAGTCAACCTATTCGAAATTTAAATTGTTATGTCATCGCAGTATCGCGCTGTCCGTAGAACAAATGAAGACTAAAGCAGAGTGTCGCGCTCTGTATACGATTTTAGCGCCTTACAAGTGCGGACACTTTTTAGCGCGGACCCGACGTCCATATAATTGTAAGTCAATGTTAGGAAATGATAAACTTAATATATGCTCCGGAATCTTATTGTAAAAACGTATACAGTTCCCCATAAAAGAGTTGTTTACCTTGGTTAAACGAAATCGTGGTACCATGAGTTTGGACTTAGCTCTAAGGTTAATATTATGGATATCTTCTTTCTTATTGAAATTATGTGTAATGTACTGTGAAGCCACAGTCTCCTTAAACTTTTCTCTGAGAGAAACCCGAGAGCCTAGACGGTACACAGAACGAATCGCTCGTTTTTGCAATACAAATATGGTTTGAATATCTGCCGCTTTACCCCACATGAGAATCCCGTACGACATTATACTATAGAAGTAACTAAAGTAAACTAGTCTAGCAGTAAAAAAAACATCCTAATTTCAACAGGGAAGATGGTTTCTCCGTACCGCCAGTTTGGGATCCAGTATTTCCTGTGATGAAAAATCCTAAACAGACATAAGACTGCAGTACTAATTAATATGTTTTAATTTATTCTAATTTCCATTACTAATTATTAATAAATTTAAATTAATAAAAAATCATATTGTTAAAACAAAATTATTTATAAAACATAATGTAGCGTAAATTGGAATGTTTCTTTGTAAAATTAAAATTACAGTATTTGATTAATAACTTTAGTTACTATAGTGAAAAAATAGGGTGGTTTACATTAATATTAGACATAACTGGTTGATCACTGTACCATTTAGTCAACTGTGACCATGGGACCTGTAAAGTGCCCGAAATGTTAGTTTGTTTGAAAAAACAAATACCTACACGCGGTTTAAAAAATACTTTCATTTACCATGTGTAACAATCTTAGAATAATAACGCATAGAATGATACTTTCATATCAAACGAAATGTCACGAGTGAGGCAAAAATCAAATTCATGTAGGCTAGTTTTAGTAGTAATTTTCGGTTTGAGTGAATATTTACATAAAAATACAAGTTGAAACGCGTTACTTCCTTGTGGAATGTGATGTTAGTATCTATTTTATGTTTGTCTGACGTATTTTTACACTCATTTACCGCACATTTCGTCATTTTTAGCTAAAATTCTTGATCTGTTCGCGGTGCAAGTTGACCTTGAGCACTGAAGGCCCGCCCGCTCGTGTAGGCCCTTTGGGCGCGCTTTAATTTGCCTCACTTAGCGTGTGCGGACTAGGTTTCTATGCGTTATTATTCTAAGGTAACAATCGCAAAAACCTAAGAACTCGATCTAAATAAATGAGTTATGAATAAATGTGGTTTAAAAATTGTAAAGGGAATATAAAATTGTAAATATATACATATACTTCACGTTCTTTTCCCATTAAGATAAGTAGAACTCGATAAAGTTTAAGCAAAAGTATCCAATTGACTGCTAAACGCGTTCTATGATTTTGTAAATGACGGTAGGAAAAATTATACATTTCTTACATAAAACACCTGCCATATTATTTGCAGAACGTGCTCTAACTGATATTGTTGAAAAGTGTAATGTTATTAAAAACAACACCAAGTGCATTCTAATGAAATACATGTGTGTAAATGTACACAAATTATGAATTATTTTCAAAATGTGAGCAGCAGGTCTATTCAGAACCTTACGATAACTCTGTTGTCGTTTTTATTCACTATAATCGAATCGAACACCAAACTGTCGTATTCGAAACCGAACCGAAATGACGTCACATCCATACGATTACTCATAATTCTCGACCGGCAAAGGCTACAAACGTTATTCAGAGCACAGTTATCGAATGAAAGTTACCTAACGTCCTATTGTTTACAAAGCAACAATGTAATATGGAAGTCCTTTATTATTTTAAATAAAATCTGGATTTTGTATAATTTTATTAATTTATTTTAATGAGAGACTAATGCATTCCTGTATTTTAGGCCTTTAAAGTCTCAAAAAATGTATATAAAAGGATTTCATTTTTCTTGTAATCTATATTCGCCGACTAACCCCGTAAACGTTGTTGGATAAGGATATCGTATCCGAATCCGAATCAAAGATTTATGTTGTTAGCATTCCTAAAATATCTTTATAATATTGTAAATTAATATTAGTAATTTGTTTGGGTAAATTTGAGTATTTTGCTATACAGTAATATTGTACTCTATAGCAAAATACATAATTAAATTAGATTCGGCACCGGAAGTTGTGATTATTATACTGTGTGATGTTTCGCGATTATACTAGTATTTATAAAATATCTTTGTAATATTGTACATAAATAGTAGTAATTCATTTGCATAGATTTGAGTACTTTGCTATACAGTAATTGTACTGTTTAGCAAAATACATAATTATGAGATTCGGAAACGGAAGTTGTGACTACTGTACCGCGTGCTGTTTCTTAATTGTATTAGTATTTACAAGATATCTCTAAAAATTGTACTTAGTAGTAGTAACTCGTTTGTATAAATTTGTGTATTTTGCTATACAGTAATTGTACGGTTTAGCAAAATACATGATTAAATAAGATTAGGAAACGGAAGTTGTGATTATTATACGCGGGCTGTTTCTCGCTTGGTGGGGTAACCTGATTGATATCAAGAGGGTTTTAAAAGCGGGAAACAGTACGTGCTCGACACAGATTGTTACTAAAAATTCTCAGGTGAAGATTATAATCAATGTACGTTCGTGACAATTAAAGTGAAGAAGTTATATCCAGTATTTAGTTATTTTAAATATCCCCTTTTAATAATGTTCATTTAGATAGGTACTGTAGGCAGATTGTTCTAATAGGGGTTCTCTTCAGTCAACTAGATACAGGTTGAATTTGAAATCATTAGCGTACGTTGAACGCATTTATCTACCAGTGACGAGGCGTGAAAATTTTCGTTAGTGAAGCCGGAGTAAAGCAAAGAGCCTAGGCCTTAACAAAAAAAGGCGCCTAGGTGACACTTAAACGAACAATTATTAGCACACAATATACTAGTACACTTCATTTCACTGATTAAGTTATTCTACACATAAAATTGAGCACAAAATTTAGTTAATTACTACTAAAACGTGGAAAATTTAGTAATAATGGACGCCTCGCCACTGTTATCTACTTACCTCATTGACTTACAATTATATGGACGTCGGGTCCGCGCTAAAAAGTGTCCGAACTTATAGGGCGTTAAAATCGTATACAGAGCGTCATTCACGCTTTAGTCTTCGATTGTTCGACTGACAGCGAAGCAAGCGAAATTACACTTTTTTTCATATTCCTTTACATGTCACTACGTTTAAATAGGTTGACTTAAGACATTTTTTTCGTGGTTTTTGTATTAGACCCGTCGTCCATTTATTTGTGAATCAATGACTTACGTAAAGAAATATTTTAGAGCAATTAAAATTAGCAATGTAAAACCATTAATTTAAAAAAAAATTAAAAGTCTTACTCAAATAAACAATGTTTCAAAACGGGTAAAATAAAAGTATTTCGCTAAATAGTGGTTAGAGCGTTAGGTTCTCGTTCTGGATGTCACGGGTTTGATTTCCATGGTTGACTGCTTCCATGGTGTAGTGTTTATTGTTAGTTTATCGTTTAGGAAGTCATGTTTTTACCTTAATGTAATTGATATCGTAAGTAGACTCTTATTTTAAAAGGATGTTAATGAATTCGATTTAACCCATTAGTTCGTTATTACGCTAATAAATGGCGGCTCAAAATATTAACAAGCTGTCCTTAACTACTGTGTGCAAGAGAGAGAGGAAGCGTGTGCGCATGCATTCAGTTTTGACGATTATCGATGAGACGAATAAAAAACTGGGAAATGAGAACCGATAAATAATATCACCAGATTTAGCAAGCACGAGCGAAGCGACGGAGCCGTTGACGCTGGCGACGCTGTCAGACAGTTTACTGTGCAAGGTCTTCGTTTGTTGGTCCGTCAGTGTGCCTGCTGGAACGGGCTGGAACATATAAATGGTTATAGGAATGAGACATTGAAAAATTCCAGTACAGTCACATTACAGGCTCCGACAAATTGGCTTCTTCAATTGTTCGTACGGAGAAAAACATAAGGCAGAAAAAGGCCTGGTAGATGAAGGATATCTTCATGAAAGAATTATAATCTAGTTCTATGATATATCATGGATTGTCTGCGAGGGAATAACAAGAAATTATGCCGCCGTCTCCTTTCTATCAAAGAGGGACTAGACGCAGGTTACGCCCCAATGTTGTGATAACCCAAGATTCGCACGAAGCTTAAAGGTCTATCCAGACATATCCGTGCCGTGTCCAGGACAAAATATCGTTGCGTATATTTTATGTGAACTCGTTCACACATGTCCGTGTCCGGGCCGGCTTTGGTACGGGCCCGCTGTTCATACAAACTAGCACGCCCCGTTCACGTCTCGGGTACGGCCCTGATGTGTGTGGATAGCCCTTTACGCTTCCACATTTATATGGCATGGAATTTCCTGCCTGCAGTTATGTTCTATCCGAGTGCTGTTACTTAGGCGAGAGTGAATAGGAATTAATTAGGTGTGCATGCTCCATCGTCTACCTCATCGTCTACCTCATCGTCACTTCCCATCAGGTGAGATGGAGGTCAAACGATAACTTATTCTTAAAAAAAAAACGTTCAGTGCCCGTTATTGTTTTGTCTTGCATCCGCCTGCCAATATGCATATAGGAATAATAGATAGTCTGTATTTTTTAATACGTACAATTACAAATTAATACATAATGACATTTGTAGGGTTGCCAGTTTTGGTAAGATTTTAAATAGGCATGTAATTGTTATGCTGGTACTAGTTACAAAATAAAGTTTTTATTCATACACTATAACATATTTGATTATGTATATTGAATTTAAAAGAAAAACTTTAAAATAAGTCTTCTCTTTGTATTTTTAATAGACATAGTTTGTGTATGTATGAACTTACAAAAATTGAAAATTGCCCAAAAGTTGGACGAATAATGGACCGATTACTTAGGCGATGACTCAAATTAAACAAATTCGGCTATTTATTTTATAGGCGTAACCGACATTCAGTGGATCGTCGATAGAATATTCATCGACTGGAATCACTATAGTCGTCACCAAATAAAAGACCAAATTTGACACTTGTCATCGTGACGCGAATAGGGATGTAGGCTAATCATATCACTGATTACATTATATGATTTTCACGAGAAATCGATTAAAAATTTTAAGAGTTTGTGATTGTTTAGATTATTTTTCGGTTCATTGTCGTTCAGGGGGCCTAAAAGGCCAAATCGTGTAATTCTGTTAAAAGCAATTCATTTACAGAATTACTTGCAATTCTGTAGCAATTCCTCTTATTTTCGTAAAATTGTCCCAGATTCAGATAAATTGTATCCAATTCTTTTAATTTTGATTTTATAATATTCATAAATTGTTTATTACTAGAATTTAGTGTAAATAAGTATGTTCATCGATAAAACAACTACATAAAAAGATTAAATTACCAATAAACTAAGAATTTCATAAATTTTCAATTATTCGGTTGGCAATAAATTAAGTGTTGTCAATGTCAACAACAAACAATCTCAAATAATGGTCAGAGTTTTTTGTAATATTTTTTTAAAATATTTTCCGAGAAATCGAAGTGACTTGGTGAAATTCGGCGATTAATTACTTACAACACTATTATTAAAAAAAAAATAACTTGAGGACGTAACTGTTTTCAGGACGTTTCGGGGTAACTCAAAACTGCATTTTATTTTGGAATTCGTGCGAAAACAGTATTTCTTTGTCATATTATATAATGTTTCAATAAAATTTACGTATTTTTTTTTAAACTCAATTATGCTAATAATTGTTTGTTTATTGTTTCGTTGATCGCATGCAAAGTTACATACTATCGCCTTCTTTAGCTGTCTAATTAGGCCTCTTATTTGGTGACGACTGTAACTGTTTGCAAGCGCGCAACGCTTTTGCGCAATGAACCGTCATTTTACTCCATATTCAAAAGAGACAGACAGAGAGATTGAACGTGGCACAAACTCTTCCATAAATTCTTTCTGGCACGAGCTAACATCAATAGTCTTCCCAGAGAAGTTTCTGTGGCAATGCACGCGATGTTGCAATTTGACGATAGATTTGACAGGCTTGTCATGCAACGTGGTCTATGGTGTAACACGATCTCTGCGAAGAGATTCACCATCCTCCACCGACCGAGATTCTTTCCCTATATTACAGAACTAAGAAATATATCACTTACCATATTTAACATTTCTTCAGCAGCTTTCAACTTGTTACTGGCATTAGATGCACTGTTGGTGAACTTAATTTTTTGTTCCTTCTCCAACGCCGAGTCTGCAACACGTAATACGTTATCAATTTTAAGCTAAACAGGGCGTGATATCTGACTAGCTGACGTATACACCGATGCAAACGGACAGATGGTGGGTGGGATTAGAGATGAGAGAGATTCAGGCGTGATTTTGCAAAAATCTATGTTAATAAACTTGAACGTAGTGCAAATAGCTGCCTTTGTGTTGAATATAACTTTCATGCAGTTAATTTTACCACTCTCACTCCGCATAAAAGTAATAAAATTAATAACACGACCGCAACTACAGTCACAAACGTGTTTATATAGTTCAGAACATTCGTGCTTTGGCGGAATATCCAACAATCAACAATTCTAAGGATGACTCGCAGAGTGGCAAAACACGTGTCGGGTATTTTTTTTGTGGTTTCTATTCAATTTAACAAATTTTTTGGTTGGTATTCAATTCAATTCTTAATTACGTGATCGGTATTTGTGTGAAAAAGACTTGTATCGAATTAGTACAAACTTGGTACTTTATTCCCAGAAAAATTTAACCAGCCTCAACTTTTTTGCTAGATATAAGCTTGAAATACAGAGCTTAACAGAGAAATTTAAAAAAAAATGTAACTTTTTTTTATTGATTTAAACAAAAGTGCGGTAAATATGTTTTAATAATTATCAGCAACACTGCTATACTTAAAAAAAGTCCAAAAAGCAGCAACACTTAAAACTTAAAATATTCAAAAACTTAATTACAATTGAAGAATTCGATTATAACACTAGTGACATTGACATCTGATCTGTCAATATATTTTTCACGGCATTGGCCACTAGCCCATTAGCCATAAAATTACATAAAAATCCGTTCTATTTTGTGTAATTACGTTCTGTTTTATATTACACAGTATTAAAAATCCTTAACGATTTTCTGGAAATTGCAGGTCAAAAAAATTGTTTTTATTTCAGAATTTCCAGATTTTAAGAGCACAGTACAAAAAACAAATTGACAGCCTGGTTAAATTTTCCATTTATTTTAGTACCACTAACAGAACAAGTCCTTTGAAAAATATTAGCGTAAATAAGATAAGGAAAAGGTTTTTTAAACCCTTAGTAAAGACACCACATATTTAACTTTTCCATTACATCGAGTACAGAGAGTACTGACATTACAATCAAGAAAACACCTTGAAGCTAGTAGGATAATGTGATACCATAGTGAAAGAACGGTTGCCTATCGCTAACGGTTAAGGAAAAAAATCATAATGAGACCTGTATGTTGAAGAGAGTTTACAACCTTTGAAACCGTGAACTCTCCAACCCGCATTACGTTATCGTGGCGGAATACGGTCCAAATCCTCTCCTCAAAGAAGTCATGCCCCACCAATGAGACGTGTTAAGGGTTGACAATGATATTGATGATATATCCACTTGGCAAAAAAAATACAAGTTCGTATTACCGTCTTTACAGGCCTCCTTAAGTCCACCAAGAGCCTTGTTCAATTCTGCCTTGCGTCTACCCAGCTCTGCTCCGAGAATCTTGCAGCCGGAGTTCTCCGATTGGCAGGCTGTGGAGACCAGCTCGTCAGCGGATGCCGATAAGGCTTCAGCAGAAGATACCAGTGCCATGTGGCAGCGAGGCTCGTAAATTGTGGGTGCTGTTAGCTGATAGAAAGAAAGATAATACGAGAAAAAGTCAATAATCGTATTGATTTTGTCCGGTTGTTGGGTACACCTTGTCAACAGATTACTTTAATTTCAAATGTCATAGCTGTCAGAAAACTCTAATAAGTATATTCCCTAAAGGTTTCCGGTATACTAGCAATTGTAAACAATTGGGGGTCAAATTTTGGAAATGCAGTCAATTTTCAGTTTAGTCGATTTAATTTTCGTACTTATTTTTGAGGTCCTGTAAAGTTCTTACCTGAGCCGTTGTCTGCAAAGTCTTGGCAGACTCTGTAATTTTGAAGCTTCTGACCAGTATCTTCTCCTCTTCAATAGCGTCAACCGTTTTCGCTACGCGCTGCGTCTCTTCCGCCATTTCGCGCGCCATGTCACAGGCTGACGCCGATAGGCGAAGAATCTATCAGAGGAATTCGAAGATTATTGTAACTTACAAAAGATAGTGATGGTAATTGGAAGAAGGCACTTGAATGGAAAGGCCACGGAGCCTGACTATATTATGTAACTATAAAGGGGTGTGTAGTGGCAAGTAAATTAGGGAAGGTTCACATTGAATAGAGGGTGACGTAAATTAAGATGAAGATAAAGAGAAAGAAGACGATAGACATGTAGCAAAAGTCTAAAGAGTAATCATGGAAAAATAAATCAATAATTAGAAACAAAATTTAAATTAAAGTTATAAAACCTGCACGAGTACATATTAAATAATTAACGTAAAAATTAAGCTGAAGGATGGAGACTCCAAAACGGTTACACATTCGAGCAAAATCTAGTAACAAAATAGCTAATTAAAAGTGAACAAGATACAAAAAGAAATGGTTGAAGTTTAATAAAAAGCTTTCGACCGAGGACTTCGCGTACTAAACAAAATAGCAGATAGTAAAAATGTAACAATACCTGTTGTTCTTTAGAAGGATTTCTCCTAGCCGGGAAAACGAACGTCAGCTTGTCGGACACGTTGGCGAAGTTCAGCACGGCCTCGTTCCATTCCTTGAGTTAAAAAAAACACATCGAACATTGAAGACAATATGAAGGACTCCGTGAACCGCGCAGCAGAGAAGGGAACGTACGTTGGCGTCGTCTGAGGCTGCGCCCGCGCAGACGGCGCGCACGGCGGCGCACCAGGCGCGCACGTCCTGCAGCATGGCGCCGCGCTTCTTCTCGTCGGCGCACGCGGCGCTGGCGGCGCGCGCGTCTGCGGACAAGCCACGCTAAGACCGAGCCGACGAGGGGCCACGCCCGCGCCACGACCACTTACCGTTCACCATGTCGGGCAACACTTCGCTTATGACGGCGATGGACTTTTCCGCTGTAGCGTAATCTAGCTTGTTGGCATCTGCAAAATTTGAAATACCATTGACGATGCAACCTACGTTCGCCGTGCGAGCGCTTTCTCGCTTGGACGACGTGGCTGTAGCTGAGAACCAATTTCCACTGTACAATTATCAAAATGCAATTGGAGGAAAACGTTGGGAGATATTGAAGTCTAAAAATAATGATGGTGTTTTCTGGAGTGCATAGAGCGATGTCATGTAATTGGTAGGTAAAGAAACGTATCAGGAGTTGATGTTGAAATTAGAATTGACAAGTGCGTCAATTTCTACATCAAAACAAATGTATTAGTCACTTTGTTCCTCTTCATTTTTATATTTATTTTATTAATATCATGCTGTTTTTGCTAATATGATATTCATCATATTATTTGGGAACAAACACAAAGATAAATTCTTTTAGTCCCACTGGATTCGAACCTGCGTCTTTTTGCCAAACAGGGGCTACCGTTCTTACCAACGGAGCTACAAATCAAGTCAATAGACCTTACGAATTTCTGTATGTACCCGCTGCAGATTTGTGTATTCCTTTTCAATTATCATTGTTGTCAATCGTACTTACTGGACTTGGCAAAGAGCAAGGAAGCTACAGCGCCGTTGATGTTAGCAATATTGCCGGACAGTTGACGCTGCAGTTGTCGTACTTGACGCTCGTCTACTTTGCCTTCGAACGGCTGCAAACAAGTCGAAAGATTTGTAAACGCTAAAATATTAGTTGTAAACACTTGTCACGGTAGAACCGAACCATCTCAAAATTGGAACCCATAGTATAGTTGCCGATATTCATTCAGAACTCAACAATTATTATAAAAGTTGTTCCGTTAGTGATATTAAAATAAAAAGAAAATTTAACCAGGCTATCAGTTCGTTTTTTATAAAAATCTCTCAAAATCTTTTTTTTTTGACCTGCAACTTTCAAAAAATCGTTAAGGATTTTTAATACAATGTAACGTAAAACGGAACAAATTTGTATGTATTTTTTTGGATAATGGGCTAGAGGCTAATGCCATAAAAATATATAATTATGTTTTTTATTAATTAAGTGTTGCTGCTTTTTGGACTTTTTTAGTATCGCAATGATTAAAAACATATCTACACACTTTTGTTTTAAATCAATTTGAAAAAATGCAGGCTAAAATATAATTTTTTTTATTCTGCTTATTAATTAATTAAGCTTATATCTAGCAAAAAAATTGAAGCTGGTTAAATTTTTCTGGCAATAAAGTACCAAGCTTCATACTAATTCGGTACAAGTTTTCTTTTAAAAGAGAAAATATTACGTTGACTTTGCATCTCAAAGTAGACTTCAATAAAAATCTGGCTGCACGATGCGAGTTTATTACCTTATCGAGTAATTGTTCTGCAGCTTTCACTTTATCCTCGACTACAGAAGCGCTTGTGACAAACTTCAGTTTTTGAGCTTTCGGTGAAGATTCTACTGAAGTCCCTAGAAAATATATTTTGAATCAGCTAGTGGTATAACGATTGTTCTTTCGCATTTGAAATTTTAATTATTAAAATTTTGAAATTGTATACAAGGCAATAGGAAGATAAGAAAATAATAGACTGTAAAAAAAGGCAAAGAGAGAATAGACGATGAAAGGTAGGTAAAGAAGTGCTTAAATTAAATACAAAAACAACAAAGTTGAAATCACACGGGCCCGGGTTCTTTACCGTCGTTTTTCTAGAGTATTCGACAATATGGGGCTGTTCATGTTCAAAACGATCATTATGACTTACCACCACAAGTGTTTCTAACCCCATCAAGAGCAGAATCCAACTCCTGTTTCTTCTTCGCCAAACCATTGCTCAAATCTTTGCACTTGGGATGCCGTAGTGATTGACTCTCGGAGACCAAATCTTGGGCTTTGGTAGCCAGGTTGTTGGTAGATGACATTAGAGCGGATTGACAGCGAGGGTCCTCAATTGATGAGGCTGTTAACTGGACGTATAAACAGAATAATTGGTTTGTGTTTGGTTCATGACACTGTTGTACAAGTTACCAAAAAAGAAAGAAATGAACACGTGATGCACAGGTAGAGCAAGTTTACTCTTTGTTTAAGTTCTTTCTCTTACCAATAATTTCAAACTTTTCAAGGTAAACTTATTTATTATGACCACAAAGACGGATCTTCCCAAAACCAGTTGCCTAAACCCAAATCTCTATCTTTCTTTTTTGGGGTGAGATTAAGTATCTGTTTTACCTGAGCAGTAGTTTTAAGCATCTGTGCTGCATCATTCAGTGCCAAATTCTTAACTTCAAGCTTAGCTCCTTCTACTCCTCCAACAACCTCGGACGTCTTGTGAGTATCGTCTACCATTTGCTTCGCCTTGTCGCATGCTGTTGCTGTCAGTTGTAGAATCTGGATGAGGAATAAATTTAAATATATAATTGTAATAAATAAGGCATCATTACTTATTTCATATCTCACATTTGACCTTGGATAAATACCGTGATTCAATATTTTATGATCAATATAATTTTGGACCCTGTCAACAGACACGGTGAGAATAGTGAAGGAAATACACGCGATGCTAACTAACGTAGAGGAAATTGGTTCTATGGTTCTTTTTGATTTGAAATTATTTATTGAGATTTGCAGTTTGAAAAAGGAAGTAGTGGCAAAAATAGGAAAAGGTGTGTTGAGGTGGTTTTGGGCGCAAGGAGCAGGTGAATGGAAGCAGAATGACGAGAGATACAGATATAGAAAAAAGATATTGGAAGAGAACGGCCACGAAAGATGTTTTCGGGAACTTATGAAGAAATTTGTAAGATCTGGTGATTCGTCCTGTAGCTTTGTGACGATGCGACCTGTTTCATGGTCATCCCACTTGTTTATCACCGTTTTCTCTGGTTACTGGCCATTTCCTTTCAAAATTTTGAATCGTTCTCTAATTCTTTTGCTTCTCTGCTTCATTCTGTCGTCACTCCCATCAAAATTCTCGGTACGAAAAGACGTGTTATCCAATCATGTGAACCTGACCATAAATCTACCTTATATTAATCCGTATGCAATTTAAGTTAGCGAGTGTATCTGTTTTATATCATTGTTTTTTGTTACAACCATTCTTCTCCTTTTCCTCCACCTTTTCCCTAATTTGTCATTTATACATTCTATAATAAAATTCACTGTGCTTTATTTTCATTATTACGCAAGACCTATCCTGACAGCTTCTTCTTCTTCTTCTTGTCCTATCGATGGCATATACTATTATAATATTTACCACTGTGGTAAAGGATTTATGTAGCTAAGTTGGTATGAATGATGGCCAGTGTGTGGCAACAGATACAGGTTCGAGTCCAGTCGGATCAGAAGGAATTTTTGTTTGTGTTTGTTCCATTTTTATATCAATAACAATATTGTACTTAAATAATATGTTGACTTTTCTTTTGAGAAAAACTTCACTAGTTTTTATTATGATTAATACAAACAATTATTGAACTTGAACCCACGACCATACTCCACCACAGTATTGCTCTTACCAACTGAGCTACGGGTCAAGTTATCGAGTTGTCGAAATTCTCCGACGTGTTTTTGTTAAAGGTTTTTGTACTGGATTTTTTGCGGCATTCTGCGCCGCTAGCGACATATACTGAAAGATTTTAGAACCTTCTTCACTGCAGCCAGTACCTTTACAGGTGCCTCAACTGACGTAGATGTCGCTTTTTGATCAAATCTATTATTGAGATTTTTTGTGAAACTACTTCACTAATTTTTATTATGTTTACGTTACCTGTTGTTCTTTAGCAGGTTTCTTGCTAGGGCTGACAATGAATGTGAGCTTATTGGAACGGTCCACAATGTTTTGGACTGAATCTACGAATTCCTGCAAAAGAATAATATTTATTTATATATATATAAAGTTACACAGCATTGCAGTAAGTTCATATCCTATCTATGGTATTGTATATTTTTGCCTAGAATATTTAAGTTTGGCCTTGAATATCTCGCTTTTTTACCTTGGTGTCTCCGTACCCTGCGCTGTCGCAGACCGCCTGTATGGCCTCACACCATTTTCGCGTATCCTCCAGCATAGCTTGCTTTGAATTCGCATCTTTGCACGTTGAACTTAGAGTCTTGGTGTCTGTGTAAATAAAACAAAGTTATTATTACGGTTATAAAAAAAGTCGGTGACTGGTAACTGCAAATGTAACTGAGTGAAGAAAAACTTCAAGGATTTCTCAGTCGTTAAAAACCAAAAAATATGGAAAAATTCGTGATGTCCATTGGTTCGTTACATCACAAACTGCTTAATAGTTACTACGTAACACTCTCATACAAAATCAGCGATAATAGCGTGCTAAATCTGACTAAGGAGACCACTCACTACGAGGTGAAAATAACGTTGCCTGCCATGTGCAGTCGTGCGGAACCGAATGCTCAGACTTGTATGGGCTTTTGTGCAGACGTCGGTACACTCAGCGGTAGGCTCTTATCGCGTTACCTTGAGCGAGTGACTGAGCCCTGGTTCGGTGGCTTAGTTGGCATAACATCTAGTTGGTTCGAATTCAACCGGATCAAAGTTTTTCTAAGTGGTTGATCTTTGTTTAATAATTATAACAAACTAGTGGAGTAATTTCACAAAAAATAAGTGAATATCATGGTAGTTTTCTTCAGGAAGTATTATTGCTTACCATTCACAATCTGAGGCATGATGTCAGAAATAATACGCAGAGCTTCTTCAGCTACATTGTAATCTGGGTTCCTTTGATCTGTAACATTAAAAATGTATTACCTACATAATAATAATAATTTTATTTATTTATTTATTTATTTATTTCTCCAAAGATATACAATTTAAGCATATTCTAAAAACCTTGCCAACCTGGACATCAGGTTGTTGGCAAGACAACGCTCTTTTCATTTATATATGTATGTCTATTCTAAGTTTAATTATTCCTTAATTAAGTTACATTAATTACCAGCTAATATTAATAAATTCAAAAACTAAAGGCTAAATAATACTACATCTACTTATAATATGTACCCTATAACTTTTCATCATTTAGTAATATATTTTTTAATTTCTTTTTTAAAACCCTTTTACTAACCTTATTACTTTCCCTGAGCCAGTCTATTTTATTATATATATTTGGTATTACATATTTATCAGTTCTTTTTCCATAATTATTATTAACCTTACACTTATTTAATTTCCTTTCTCTAACTCTTTTTGTGTTATACTTGTTATGTGCCACTAATAATTTGTCCTCACTTTTATAATAATTTTTCAAGGCTATCACAAATTTTACTTTCTTATCAATGGGCAATATTTTACATGTGTTAAATAATTTCTCATAACGTCTTCAAATTTTTTTTTTTTTGTGTTTTAATAAAAAGTTAAACAACTGTTGAAGTCGTTGTAGTCTAATGATTTGACCTATCGCCTCTCAATCAGAGGCAATGGACTCTGAGTTTCTCGGTATTTACGTGTGAAATTTAATTTGGAATTTACCACGAACTTTTTGCTGAAGGAATGCATCGTGATGAGACCTACGCGCCGAAGAAGGTTCACAACTATATCTCTCTCTCTTTCTGATCACCACTCTCGGGAACCGTGTGAAGTTCTCAACCGAGCAAACGTGGCGGAGTACCTATAGCCTAAACCATCGCCTGAGAGGAGACGAGAAGATTAGATGACTACTAGTGGGTGTTTGCTTATGAAATCGGAGTAAGGTGGTAACATCCTATTCAGTTAGGAAAAAATGTCATATACGCCAGTTTACGTAATAGAATGTGCCATATAACCACGTCAATTCTGCCCTCGTAACGACACAACTATGCGTACTTTATACAGGCACAACTATGCGTACTTTATACAGCAGGGCAGAATTACCTAGTCTCATTTTAAGGAATTTTCTATACTATGAGTACCAGAGCAATGAAAATGCAGGGCACTACCCAAAACCCCCAGAACCAATTTAAAAAAGTTCATTTCCCCAATTGGCCTCATTGGGACTCGAATCTGGGACCTCCTCATCCAGAGTCTACATTGCGAACCTTTCGGCCACCGAGGTTGTCAAATGTAACAACAACAACAACGTACACGCATAGCCCCGCACTAGGGAAACTCTGTGTCGCGGGTGCCATGGATATACACATAGACAACCACAAATTACACCCAAACTCACGAGAGAAGTAAATGTAGGCTATACAAATATTTCTCCCGGCCCGGGAATCGAACCTGGGACCTCTGCGTGGCAGTCCGGCATGGTAACCGTTCGGCCACAGTGTCAGTTAAACAATGAATAAAAAGAATCACACATTATACACGTAATTAGAGAAAGGAAAAATGTGACGATATGTGTCCAACTCTGGGTACGGACCCACCAGATGATGACGATTGTGTACAACTACATCAATTATTTCCCTGTTTTTATAAGAACCAGAGCAACAAATAACTCCGACCACTAATTAAAAAACTCGTATCCTGTATTGACTCTAACGGGAATGAAACAAAAGAATCATTTACCAGACTTAGCCTCTATGAGAGCAGCAAGGGCTGCATTGACTTCAACCATGTTCTGACCCAGCTTACTTTCCAGCTGCTTCGTTTGCCGCTCACTTAACTTTGGCACTGCAATAGGCTCGGACTGTAACAAGTTTTATACAATTTTTTATAGCAGTAGAGCTCCTTGTGAAAGAATGCTCCCACAAGCTCGACTATTTAGTATTAATTTTAGCATTTTTGTTCTTTTTGTCACCGTTAGAGGAGCTGCAAGCAGAACAGCCTAACAAATATTTGGCGCCATCGAGTATATAAACAGAAATAGAGACGAAATGTTATTTAATTTGTTTGAATTTTTTTTTATTTACACATAAAAATCATACAAAACATGTGTTAATGCAATGTTTCCCGTACAAAAAAATCCCGTACATTGCTAATTCTAATTCTACTATTCTGCTATATCATTACTATAACAACTGCGGTCCGACTGGCCAGCCCGAATTCGAAACAATTGACGGGTGTCGTCAATTGTTTCACTTCAAATCGACCAGTTAACTTGAGCTTTGCTATAATGAACGAAAATTGCATTGCATATTTAATTACCGATGAAATTTGATTCCGTTTGTTTTGTAATTAGATGTTTTGCCCCACACCACCGAATGGAACAGCTCGCCATTGATATTATCTTTATTACAATAAATACAGAATATTTTTGGAATATATGGACACGTACACACAGGTCAGTTGTTGGCCTTTCTATATTTCAGTGCAAACGAGCGTTGATATTTATAAGTGATGTATCACTGATGAGGACCAGTAATGTATGGCCCTTATTTCGTCTCTGTGTCTGGTTATATACTCAATGTTTTTTTTTAAACTTGACACGATAGACCTAATCGCGGTAATTCAATAGAGTAGTACTCTCTGCAAGAATTTGCTCCCTTTTTTGTGTCACAAGTGTCGGGACCAACAAATCGTGCACCTGGTGGTAAGAGACATGCAGACTTAGAAATTTAAATCGCAAAGATCTGAGGGGCATTGCCACTGCGTCCGTACAATGTAACTTAAAAGTGGATCCAGTAACCTCCAGGTCAGTGACTTATAAGTGTCATGTCCGTGTGCCACACAAGTCGTCTTACACTTTCAAAAGAAAATGCATCTTACATTCTTATATTTTTATTTTTAGGTACCATTCATCCCTGCCTAAACTGCAAAGTGGAGTGTTTTGAAATGGAATATTTTACTAAGCACTGGTACCATCGTGACAATAGGATTATAACTTTAAGTGATATATGTGTATATTTATAGTTAAGTGATAATTTTTTGGAGCTACTCGAGACGCGTCATATAACTTCTATCATTGGAATGTATTGAGTTTCTTCAAAAAGGTAGGGTCTGAAAAACAGCATAAGCTGAGAATCCTTTTTATCTACACAGTATATGTAAATACAGATTATTTAAGACTAAATTAGTATGCAAATGTCGATAAATAAAGATCGTTATTTTTATTATTAAGTATTTTCAGAAATTCTTAGTGCAGTGTATTAGCTAGTGTACTTATAGTTAACCATTTATATCTGTAGGTAACTAGTAAAAACTAAAAGTATTCTTGTAAACTCGAAATGTAACCTCGGGAAATTAAAATCATAGTGATTCGCAATGTAATTATTCTTAACATACAAATAATATCTTAACGTAAATAAAGCATTTGATTATTTCCATTTGAAACTTGTTTTGTGTGTCAGACGCGTTTCCTTCTCCTTGATTATAAATTTAACATGCAGCATCGGGTCAAACCAGACCTCACGGTAACCTACCACAAACACGAATTTTTTTTCCTAAATGACGTTTGTTCGATTTTTCATTACACCGAAAACCGAATTATAACGAAACAGTTGTTCTTTCACTTTCGTTAGGATAGGTTATAAGTTAGGTTTAAACATTGACGTACAATTATATGGACGTCGGGTCCGCGCTAAAAAGTGTCCGAACTTATAGGGTGTTAAAATCGTATACAGAGCGTCATTCACGCTTTAGTCTTCGTTTGTTCGACTGACAGCGAAGCAAGCAAAATTAGACAGTACTGCGATGCCATTACAATTTAAATTCAACGTTTTAGCTTTTTCATATTCCTTTACATGTACGTTTAAATAGGTTGACTTGGGACATTTTTTTCGTGGTTTTTGTATTAGACCCGTCGTCCATTTATTTGTAAGTCAATGGGTTTAAAAGAAAAAACATTTTCCTCTCAAAATTACTTTCGAGGTTATGAAAATTCGAGCAAGCGTTATTTCTGGAAAAAGTCATTTCGGTTTACTTATAGATAACCAGATCTCAAGCTACACAAGTGTCATGCTCATCTAATCTGACTGGATCTGACCATTACACCCTTGAAAACGTAAACGCAGTAATGTTCACATTGCCACTTGGATGATCTTTTCATCTAACTCACCTGGTCAAGTAAATCTTCAGCAGCCTTCATCTTGTCTTTGACAGCAGATGTGCTTGTGATGAACTTTAGCCTTTCAACTCTTCTAGATGGGCTCTCGTTGGGCTCTATAACAAAAATGTGAACGGATAGTGTTCCCTAGAACTTCAAGTTAATTCCACACTCACTCTTCCTTGACTAAAAAATGGCATTCTTATGTCATTAATATACTACCCATTCGAGGACTACAATTTAGAGCCATTCAAGGACAGAGTAAATAGACATTTTTAACGTGCGTGTCTTTTTAACCGACTTTAGTGTTTCTATTTTGTGTGTATATCACACGATTAGACATTCGTGAACTGATTTCGATGATTATTTTGTTGAAAAGGGCCGCCTCAAGCAGTCCCATTCAAATTTGAAAAAATATTACACTTCTAATGGTGGCAAATTGGGGGATGAACCCTGTTTATGGAATGTTACCATTTTCTGTTAACCGATTTCAATAAAACGTAGCACATAGATGTAATTCTGTTGACAATAAAATGTTATTGTAACCTAGAGTTGATCCGATGACAGAAATGGCAGACAGGTGAGAGAAACTCCTCAACAATGTACAGCTGCTACCTTGTCTATGAGCTTATATGATTCGTTTTGATGAGGACTTATATTGCTTTTCGATTATCGTCGAAGAGACCACAGCGAAAACAGATAAACAGACTTTTGAAATCGGTTTTTTATAAAAAGAAAATTACAATTATACACAATTATTGCGCTCATACGTTCATTCCAGAATACTTTTTTAATATCAAGTGACGGGACGAGCAAGTCGTGTGTCTGGTGGTACTCAGTTCCACTCAGAGCTTTAAATCGCAAAGATCGGAGGGGCACTGCCACTACGCGTGTCACCCTGACACCAGTTGGCAAGTCCCATGTGCCTGTAATTTCACCAGCACCCTTACCCGTCGAAAAGGAAACGCAGTAATGCTCAGATTACTGCTTGGCGGCAGAAATAGTTAAGGTGGCAGTGCCTTCCTGGGCGAACTCTTTCATAAGAAACTGTACTGCTAATAAAAATATGTAATAATACCCAATCATTGCACTCATACGCTCAGAAATGACCTTCATTCCAGAATACCTTGTTGAACAACAAC